GAAGTAATGTGAAAAACAATCCCAGGCTCGTGCCTAGCGTCCTAGGACAAAAAGAAAAGCTTCGTTACTAGACCTAGCCTAATCATGATGCTTTGTTGATGGATGGCAAAACTGTCCCAACTGTGGGAAGATACAAAAGGTTCATATTAGTAAATGCCCAAAATAGAACTAGAAAAAATTGGATACAGGCCTGGACTCAAATTAGGGGTTATTATTTTCGTTCTATGTTTAAACTTACCAGGCATTTTAAACTAACACTTATTTAACTTAGGCTTCCACTTAGGAACTTCTGGAGCAAGCGAATTGCGGTGATAAAATGGTAAAACTCGCCTTTCAAAAATAGTAAGAATGGTTCCAAAAGGAAATTTACTAATTTATTATTTATGAATTACCCAGAGCGTAAGAATGTACTTGAATATTTAATTTTCGCACCCAAATCAAATTACCTGTTGAAAGAAGCCTTGTAACCGTGAAACCGTCAAAGGCCTAGACTTACACTCTTTCACAACCACCACAACTACAACTAAACTGCACAAGAGACTGACAGCCGACAGGACAAGACAGGAGGTAGACAGACAGACTGAGACAAGACAAGCCAAGCAGACGGAGACGGATCACCCGGCGCGACGGTTCGTTCTCGTTCCGATTTAGTTTCCGTTCCGTTCCTCTCACACCCTGGGTTTAGATTCAGCGCAGTTTTCGTTCTCGAACGTGATTTAGTGATTTTCTCTATGGTTCAATCATTGATTATGCTTCTCCCAAGACTTGGGAAGATGTATAATCAATGGTTCAATCCAGTGATATATAGTGGTTTATTTACCTTTACTTCCGTCCCAGTTCAAAGAACTTGCACACAAGTACATTTTTACAATAAATTAAAACATATGGTTCTCGCATACATACATTTTAGTGAATTTCCCATATAGGGAATAAGCTATTACCGTAGGTCTCATGGTAAGACCTAGACCCGGGACCGATTTACTTTTTCGTTTTGAGGTCCCCAGAGGCCAAAAACACCATCTGTTCAAATTCATATATATATATACATATATATATATATATATATGTATATATATATATGTATATATATATGTATATATATATATGTATATATATGTATATATATATGTATATATATGTATATATATATATATATATTTATTTATATATGTGTCTGTTAGCGTGATAACTCGAGCAAAATTGATCCGATTTTAATGAAATTTGGTACAAACGTGTAAACCTACATTTATTCGCGAACCAGCATAATCGGACCATGGGATCAGGGGTTTATGGGGTAAAAATGGGTTTTTCTCATTTTTGACCCTAAAAACTTAAAATTTCTAAATTTCTCTCTAGACCATTTTGAAGAGCTTAAAAAAAACAAATAATTTAGTATATTGAAGTGTTTTTGAATGTTCATTGACTACGGAGAAAATTTAAAAAATTGTAAATTTACAATTCCCATGTTATTCTTATGGAGAATAAACTGTTCTAGTTTGCTTGTTTATGGATATATTTTAATCAAGTTTGGTTTATTTCATACTAAGCTATCAATATTTCAATTGAAAAAACACGTCTCAACATCTTCCCCGTAGCAGCAAACCTAACTATTCACTAAAATTTATGTTTTTTAAATAGGAAATAAATCTGAAAATATATAGGGAATATTTTAGTAGAAATCAAGCCGGGTAAATGGAAATTATTGGCTTAGGATGCAGGTTTGCTGCGACGGGGGTATTATTTAATCGTACCGCCGCGGGAGCCGGCTGGAGAACACTCAAGAACTTTTGATGGCTGCACTTTAGTTTACGGTCTACACTCATTCGAACGAATGTATACGATTGGGTACTTATTTCGATATATCAAGTTTGGTCAGTTCGGTTAGGTTAACCTAATCTAACTAACCGAATGAAATAATCGATACATCGAATAACGAATAATCTGTATATCGATATTATTCATTCGAAACGAGTGTAGGACGTAGACTAAAGTGCAGCCATCAAAAGTTCTTGAATGAGTGTTCTCCAGCCGGCTCCCGCGACGGTAAAAGTAAGTTTTTGGAAAAAATCATTTTTTTTTACCGAGTAATACTGTAGATGAATTAGAATCAAAGTTTTATCGCCATAATAATACAAAAATGTACAGGGCAAAAGTCACTGAAATAACTAAACAAGTAAAATCAGATCCATTAAAATAAAGATACAAACTTCAAAAGGTACAAAGTATCTACATTTTAAAAACGAAGTAACACTGTAAAATTCCTTATCAACTAAATATTCCCTCAAACCAAGCTTAAATTTTTAAATATCATTTTCGCATTAGGAGGAGAATTAACCCCCACCGCAGCAAACCTGCAGACTAACTGAATTTCCAATAAAACCAGTATTGGATCTTAAATTAAATATATTTAAATAGCATTAGCGTAATAATTTAAGCCTGTTTTTTTCTTTATGATTAATTGAAATAACACATGTATTTTTCTTTATTATGATTTTAAAATATCCAACTTCAAACTTGGTTTCAAATCAAATAAAATCATTTTATTGGGCCAAAGTAACAATGATACAGATCTTTTAATACAGTTTAATACAGATCTTTTATTTAATCCAAGTCTTTGTCATTTTAAAGTCTAATGTAATGTTTTAAAGTCTAAGGTGTTATCTTTTTTTACAAACTGGTGCCGAAACCCCAATTAAATCATGTCATCAAGGAAAGGAAAGAGGGAAAGACATACCCGGAACGATATTCCCCTGAAATTGTAAATGACAAGAATGATGAACCGCGGTATACTGTAGAAAGAGATAAGGCATAACCTCCAAACCCCCTACTAAGTCAAAAACCACGTACATCTTCAAGAATAACTGTTATTCATCGTAAAGCGCTATGTACATTACATGCAATGGATGAATGTCATTAAACTAACTGTAGCCTAAAGTTTACAGGCAACATAGAAGCAAATGCAATTAAAACAAGTGCAGTGTCAACGTCAACTTCAACTTCCAGCAAGCACCGGTTACAAGAAAAATACAACATACTAAAAAAATACTTCAATTTACAACTAGAAGAAATTGAAGAAAAATGAATAAATTTGGAAAAAATGCAGGAAGGAAAAGAATTGTAACAACAAATAGAATTCGAGGCTAAAGAAGTAGAACGTCAACGTCAAATGCAGGAGCAGGAAATGGAACGCCAGAGGCAGGAGAGGAGAGGGAAATGGAACGACAAACGTCAAGCTGAAGCAATTTTGAAGCAGCAAGTCTCGTGTTACCGGGTGACATTGTGATTTGTACACTTTTGAGCAGATACAATAATGACATAGGTATAAGACCTACTAGCCTATGGATAGGAATTTTCAGAAATGTTGATTATTGTATAACAGTAATGAGAGCCCGAACTCTTTACAAGAAATTACCTTTTTCAATTTTGGGTCTTCACGTTAAAATAGGTTTGAGTCCAATAGGTTCAGGTTTTTCTGAACAAGAGAGGTCTTGTTCAGATCTCTTTAAGACAAAAATAACATAGACAGAAGCATGAATCTGCCTAGAGTATGATAATTTAAAATTATGAATTATCTTACCTTTGCAAGGCAAATGTTTACTGCACCAATAAAACATACAAATATCCATCAGTAAAACTAAAACTTCCATTAAAACGAGCAGTAAGAAAAACAAACACCCAAGTGTCGGGTGTTGAGTGTTTTGTTTACATGAGAGACAAGTTTCCGAACTCGGAAAAGAAAACCCAAATTTGAACTCCCATAAGAAATAGGGAAGAATTTTCTTTTGTGCATATTACTCGAAGTATACGTCAGATAAATGAATGCAGACACTTGATGACAAATCTGTGTGCGCATACGTTAAATTTAAGACCAATATTGACCACCAAAAGAAGTTGACCAAAGAACTTGGCTTTCTCACAGTCCCTTCACTTTTTATCTTTGATTCAGTTTGCTATATAAAATCACAGAACATTAAACCAACTTTTACAAATACCAGGCCCTACCTAAAACATTCTTGAAATTCAGAGTTTAACAAAATTAAAATTAGAATTGAAAAAATATCTAGTGGAGTTAAGTTTTCATGACATAGACAGTTACCTTAACGGTGACAAAAACTAGTATTTAGTTTCTTATTAAGTTATTCATTGTAATAACCCTGTCCTGTAAAATTCCTTAAGACAAAGGACTACGGTCGGAGAGATCATGTACCATGTATGTATGTAAATATAAAAATAAAATTGGCCCACTAATAACAAAATTGCAGCTAAAAATATTTAAGCCACTGCTTATTTAATGCAAATTTTTGGCTGCTATTTAGTTATTAGTGGTCCGATTTCTATTTTCTTTGTCTATTGATTGGTATAGTCAAGACAATGTAAAATTATATGAAAGTCGACCTAGCTCAGTGGACGACTTCGGGAGATGTATCACGGCCGCCTTTAACTCCAGGCCGTGGCCTTCGAAGTAGCAACGTCGCAAGTGGTGTTGTGTTGTAATAGTTGTTTTGTTTGGAAGCAGCTAATGATATTTGTATATTTACGAAAGATTGGTTACTGAACTATGACAATATGAATTCGCTTAAAAATGTACAGATATAGATTTTTAATTTATATTGTTTCGGTTTTCAATTCTTTATTTTCAATATTTCAAACCAAGCAATTTACTTTAATGATTTAAATTTGAATTTATGAACATAAATTTAAATTTAAATCATTAAAGTGCGAATTAATGAGCTGATGTCACCTGTCTGCCATGTTATCTTATGGGACATCTGTCATTAAACAACACCACTTGCGACGTTGCCAATTCTACCAGGCCAGGGCCTGTAGTTAAAGGTGGCCGTTGATGTACTGTATAGCCAATGGTAGTGCGTATTCAATTTTCAATCCGAATCCGAATACGATCTGTCTGTACGCTGGCGCTGCACTCAATTTTCAAATTTAACCGCCAAACGGTCAACCCGCAACCGCCAAATCAAATCAACAAAGAACAAAAGAACTACTAGAGTAGGGAAGGAGGGAGAAGGCGTCTATTCTATTCTACCATTCTACCGACCAACGGACCAACCGAGAGGCGAGAACACGAACACGAGACCTTACTTTTTTTTTACTTTTTCTTTACCCAACTCAAGAAGGCGCGCAAACAACAGAGAAGAGAAAGACGGAGTTTGTGCTACGCATGCATAGGCCTACCACTAGTTTCTGCTAATTCAGTGATTTACAGGTAAGTGGTGATTTTATTTAATTATAGTATAGATTGAACTATGCCTATGGACCAAACTATTTTGAAGCAATTTCCCTAATCTTTCCCTAAAAATGTCGATAACCTCATAACTTAGGTAGCCTACCCTTAGCTGCTTTTCATAATTATGTTGAATTTAAGTGGGCCTAAGCTAGATGGTTTGCTGATGTGGTATCACTCACTCCCCTGACTTTATTTTAACAAATACAACTGAAATACAGATTTACTGAAGTTATTAGAACCTAGCCTATTGGTTAGAAAGTTTGAGAGCTATGGAGTAGGAGGCAGGAGGCACTGTTCTTAGAACTATTGAGTCATCTTTCGCATAGGCAGAAGGTGGTCTCTATCACGGGAGTAACTTCAGTACCTCCCTATTGGAGTTCCACAAGGGTCTGTAATTTGCCTATTATTCCTAGTCATGATAAACAACCTCGACAAGACTGGAAATGTTTTAGGCCTACGTATTTGCTGAGGATACCACCCTTGTGTCACGAGGACTGCGAACAGTCTGTAGTAGGAGCAAACAGCTTACTTATTTGAAGCTTAAAAATGGTTTGAGGCCAATGGCTTCCAGCTTAACCAAACCAAGACACAGTCTCTCGTTTGCAGTCTGGCCAAACATGCTCCTTCCAATGATCTGGTGAAGTTGCTAGGCTTTATACTGGACTAGAAACTAGTTAAACTGGAAATACCCCGTAGACCAGGCTTTCAATAAACTGTCGAGAGTATGCTTCCTCCTTCTGAAACTTAAGTAACTTATATGGTCATGGAGCCTATGTTGAGTGTGTACCACGCTATGTTTCATTGTCAGATGCTTTAGTGGGGACACGATGAAGACATCTTGGTTCAGCAAAAGAGAGCGTTTACAATATTCACCTTAAGCGATCTTCTGGCTCATGGCAAGCCTATCTTTGCTAGGCTGGGAATCCTTAGGCTACAGTGTTAAGTCACTATACCTTTGCCTGCTTAAAGAACTTAATTGGATAATATCGAGGAGTTTTCCGGAGCAGCAACACATCGTCATCACATCTAGGCATCGTACCCAACTAGATGTCCCCCATAGTTAAAAACTGTCAAGGACTCAGAAAGCCTTTGGTAATTATTCCGTATAGGTGCCTCCAAACAAATTTTTAATTTTGATATCTTACTTTATAGTTTTTTACCTCCTGAATCCAAATATACCATTATTTGTCACAGCTGATGAATATTTCAGCTGCCACTATAGTCACTATAGTCACACTATATGAATAGTCCACCAGTCCATCTATCTCCATAATGTGACAAAATTCCTATTATAGAGAACATTAAGTTATTTGACTACAGAATCACTTGAAATGTTATCCATCCTATCTTGTTTATTGTAATGTTAAGTATGTTTTTACGGCGATATCTTGAGAAATATTCATCAGCGGTGAAAAATAATGGTTTATTTGGATTCAGAAGGTATAAATAAAACTATATAAAGTAAGATATCAAAATAAAAAATTTGTTTGGAGGCACCTATATGGAATAAATAAGTTACCGGAATAACAATACTGTAACTTAAATGTAATAAGTTGCCAAACTCCATCCTACTCCTTAACACAAGGGAACTTCTTAAGATACAGCATATTTTAAAGAAAAAAACTCTTAAATATTCACTGACAGAGTATTTTGATGACCCTCTATTAGGTCTAGCCTGAAGTACGCCTGTCCACAGCTTCAGTGTTTATACGTGTATAAAATGTGTAAATATATGTTTGTAGGCCTTTTCAAGTGTTTTTATTTTTTAATGACACCATCAATCCCCCATGGGGTAAAAGATGAAGAAACCAGTAATAAGGTACCTAAGGTTTCTAACTCACTTTTCTAAGAGTTGTACCTGGGTTTAGGCCTATATCCACAAAAATTATAGGTACAGTAGAACCCCTCTTAACCGATAATCGGATTATCCGCCCTTGATTGTAAAATATTACAGTTTGTTTTAACCGACCTTGCTTTGAAAGCAGTTTGGTTTAACCGCCGCTTTCTATTAATCTCGGCATTTCCGCTCCCACGCTCGGTAATGGGAACCATACACTTATCTCCACAGGATGTGACCAAGATAAAACATTTTGTATCTAGGCCTATCCCAAAAAATATTCCATATTACCAGTTTGTCATCATTGTTTGTGGCGTGAGCATCTCTGATTTTTTATCTGGGCGGTAAATTTATAAAATCGTAAATGGTGCTACGATTTTTATAACTGATTATCTTTTTGCTAGAGTAAACAAACATCACAACTTATAGGGATGGTAGGGGGGGGGGGTTAACGACTTCAAGGTCAAGATGGTTTTTGTGACTCGAGCCTCCAGTAAAAGGGTAAATAAACAGCCTGTCTCGTAACAAAATGGTTGCTAGTATTTTTAATTTCGAAAAAATGTTCTGTATTGTATTACAAAAGATTTGACAAGGTGCATCAATAATTTATATCACAGTAGCCTACTGTACTAAGTTATTAAAATAAGAAGTTTTATTAACCCTTGCCTACAACTAGTGTAATTTATTCCACTGAAAGTATTTGACGTAACTGTGTTTTGTGTTTTTTGTGACTTTTCTTCTATCAATACAAAAAAATGAGATAAATGTAGTTTATTTGATAAATAGTGCAAGTACAACTTCAAAATATTGAATATACAATTCCAAATGAGCAGCAAAATTACATTATGTTTTTAGGAATTGCCTGTTTTAGCCGACCTTTTGAGTTATCCGACCTAGTTCCGGTCCCATTACGGTAGGTCAAGAGGGGGTCTACTCCTACTCATACAAATTAATAGTGGATAACTTAGTGGATGATATGGTAGGGCGTAGACTAACTTAATAAGTAAAGATCATTTTCTCAAATGTTACTGGGTCTGAACAATGGTGAAAATTACACTAAAATAGAAAGGTTGTATTTGAACTGTTGAATTAATTTAAATACCATACTTGATTCGTGTGTTGCAGATAAAACCAGTGAAATGTCTGATGAAGCTAGTCCTGTAGAGAAGAAGAGGGGCCGTAAACCCGCATCTGACGTAAGTTAATTTTTGAAATTTCAAACGATAATCTTTGCTCTTGGATCGTACACGTAAAACCGTTTCTTCGTCCATACATTACCAGAAAAAAAAACAATTATTTGCCACACCTCTAAATTACACTTAGTCAAATCACTTGTAGGCCTATCATCCCACTAATAACAGCATGCTTAGTTATCAATCAATCAATCAACATGACAATATCAACACCTAAAATGACCTTGACTCAGGCAGGTCAGTGGTGTCAGAACAAATTATTACTTGAGACATGATCTGATCACACCATTCTTTTTTGAGGCAAACATCTTAAAATTAAATCATCAAAATCAAACAAAATACTGTAATAGAGAAGTTTTTTTCCCATTTTTAAAGAAATTTTCCAAACAATTTTAGAGTTGATTTAAAATCTGTGTCTAAAGGTAAGCCTAGTTTGTGAATTCATGTTCTTCCTTGATAGCATTTCATGGTACCTCATGTGACCCGAGCTTATGACAGGGCTTTTGTTGTTACTACTTGCCGCCTATGTGTGCCTAGACAAATTAGATCCCTTGATAAACATTCCTAGTTTGTGTGTAGGGGGGAAGCATAGAAACATCCATCTCCAGCAGGTGATCTTGTCAGGGTGCTCACGGATTTGCTAAAATGTGTTTTGTATGATCGATAGCTGGTGTGAATCTATATAAATAAAATTAGAGTTTTGTCTGTACATTGCTCAGAATCATACATTTTTAGGTTATTTTTACGTTTTATACATTAAAGAAGCCGAAACAAGTCTCATCTAAATTTCTGTCTGTCTGTCTGTCTGTCTGTCTGACACACTCAAGATGGCATTTTACGCAATCTTCTCCAGGAAAACGAGAGTACCTATCAAGACCCAAGTCATTTTAATGTATTCACTGGATTGGCAAGAGTGTCTTTAGCCATTAAAATATGATCTCACTACTTTGTAATTAAAATTACGGCCGTTCAAAAATGCAGTTTTGTGCGATTTTTGTCAAGTTTTCTTCCAATTTGTATCACATAATCATCTATGAAACAACGAACAGCTGTTCGGATCAAGATTATTTTTTCTAGCTGTCACTGAAATGTTTACAAATGTTGTTTACAAACACCACAACCATTTCCGATCACGTTTTGAAGGCAAATCCCATCCAAGTGAGATTAAAAACGTTTTTATTACATAAAGGATTTAATTAATCGCAAGTGGAATAATATAGTGTAACCGTAAATTAAATAACTAGGCATCATCCAGGTCAGGAACCAGAAATATGTGTATAAAATTGTTTTGGAGTTTTGATAACCAGAAAGAAGACATTGAATCAAGATTGAATCAGTGTTGTATACGGTTGGGAAACTTAAATTTACTAATGACCGTCGCCAATAGCTTAGAAACAATGTTCCACTCATTGACGGCTCTTCAATGGCGGTTGTGTAAAGTGTAAAGCAAAAAATTACAACTGCAGTGGGTGATTGTAACAGAGGTTTACGGATGATGCTATACTCGATTTTCCAATGTGTCACTTTCTGTTCCTACCATTGACTAAAGTCAATAGTTCCTACTCACCGTGAGATGCAATCGCTGGACCATACAGCCAATAGGCCCATAGCCCTTCTCTTGGGTACGTGTGGTACGTATGCTTATTACCCAATTATTTATAACAACCCTTTCGACAACGATCCTTGATACCGGTACTTTTCCATAGAATACACGGCCTACCTAGGTGCTTAAGAAATAAAATTATAAACGTCCAAAAACCCAACGTTGTGTGAGTTTTGTCACATTTCCTTATAATGTTAATATATATACCAGCAACCATTGTTTAGAGAATACGTAATCTATTAAATAACAGAAAGTTATGTTGCATAAGGTTTTTTTTCAAACTGACACCGATAAGTTTACATTAAGAGTTGTGTACAAATAAAGCAATTAATGGGAAATAACTTTGATTGCCGATAACTTTTTACGGGAAAATCCAAAACCAAGAGATCAATAACCTTGATTAACGCATATAATTATGGTCGGCTGTACTACAGTTCTTAACTGTAAACGTTGGTTTTTGATACGGTACTGGTTCTTTTCCTTTTAACCTTTAGTAGCAGCAAGAATCATTTTTACGTACCAACACATCACAGTAATTTACAAATTAGTTATCGTTGGTGTTGCACCTTATTTATTACAGGCGTAGCCTATTCAATTTAATTTATGTCTTAACTGTATAATTTTTGCTTTTTCTGTCTGGATTCCAAAATGTTATACTAAGAAAACTATAACGCATTTTAGTAAAACATTTATTCAGCAAACCATCATGAATTGTTCAAACACTTTGAACGTTGTTTATGTATCAATAGTTCGTGGCCTATTTTAGTAATTTTTATTACAAATTACCAATCTAAATCGTCTATAGTAGGCCTACTGAACTTCATTTCATAGCCCTATAGCAAACCGATTCAGATAGCATTTCGACAGAATTTCGAGTCATCTCCGGTCCAAGCAAATATAAATTGTTATGATCAAATTTTATGGCATTAACAAAGATTTCAAGTACTAATTTTATATGTACCTTTTTATGCTTAAAGCGTAGCAGATTCCCTAATTAAGTTCGGTATTTTTGTGTGTATGTATGATGGTAACGCATTAATGTCCTTGTTTCTCAATGTTTCACGGAAAGGACAAGAGCGCCTTGGTAATGAAAATGTCAACCCGAATAAAGTGTTAAATTAAGAGGTTGAGGTAGTACCTTAAATACTTTTAACCATTATGTTATAGTCCTTTAAATTCTGAACAAAATTGTACAAATCCCATTTCCGTATATTTACTCTCACCGCTTACACATGATAAAGGTTGTTGACAAACTTATGGGAGAAAGTATGTGTCAGAATGCTGATACCGTTTATTTAGTTTAATCATTGGATATAACATATGGACCAACAAGATCCGGGTGACATTTAATTGCGAAGCATTAGTTTTGGCTTGAAACTGTCAGATACTGTATTTGCGAAGGAATAGTTTTGTCAGCATATCTGAAAGTATGCAAACCAACTGCTATGCTTTATATAAGAAGGTTTTAACTGACTATGATAAGATCCCCGTGCGTAGAACGGGCACACAGCTAGTATATTCTAAGTTTGCTTTGCGATTTTTTTTCCCCAAGCAAAGACATAATAAATCTTATTTATTTCTGCTATATATTGCTAATCCTCAAGCCTACACTTATTCCTATTATTAGTGTATTTGTCATCTTTTGAGATATTAATTTGAAATTGAGATGTAGGCCTAATCATTATACTTTTAAGACATTATTTGTACCGTTGTAAAAACTTTGAATTGACTAGTTGATTTGTTAGCAATGGTTCAAAATCTTAACCGTCTTGCATACTAATGTACACCGCAGGGGGCCCACGCTTGCGTGGGTTCGTGGCCTGGGCGACCACGCGGACCCTAGCTCTCCCAGAGGGGAGGTAATTGCCCGGTGTTGGAACCGGCACTTCAGGTAGACCACAAGCTATGGACGACTGGACAAGCCAGCCTCTTTGGGTTTACCCAAAGTGAGAGTACCCAGTGACATTCCCTCCATTCAGGGTGGTGGGGTGTTCAGCTCTGTTAGTGTTGATTAAGTTCATAGATCTTTCACCTGCCTGTAGCTTGTGGTTGTGACTGAGTCCTACCTGTTGTGTACGACTGACATTTTGTGAGGCATATCCTCGACTTTGGAAGTAGCCTCGTCCTGGGAGGTGAAATACCTAGCCCCCAGAGGGGAGGTAAATGCTCCGTGTTGGTATCGGCATTTTCAAGTAGGCCACAGACATGGACGACTGGGCATTGGGTCCCAGTGACATTCCTTTATCCAGGATGGAGGGGTGTTTAGCTCTAGGAGAGATGGAAGTGCATCATAATCTCTAACCTACCTGTGTCTGTGGTTCTTTGGGCTTCGGCCTGCTTGTTGTGTGCGACCAGCATTCAGTGGGCAAATCCTCGACTTTGGAAGTAACCTTTCCTGGAGGTGAAAACGGGCAAGTACCCGTAGCTCACGGGGACACTCAAGGGCAACGTAACTTTCCGCAGTGTGAGGGCAACGGTTTGTAGGCACTTATGCAAACCAATCCCTGTCTCTGAGCCCGGACGGTATGGTTATCTTGAGTGTGGGGGGTTCTTCCCGGAACCTCAATTGAGTCAAGGGTGTCGCCACCTCTGGTGGATAGGTTCATCCGGGTGGGTCCCACTTCTATACCTGCCTCCTTTTGGGAAACCCTGATGGCCTGGCAGTGATGTTGGGTCTGACGGGCAAACGAAGTAGATCGGGTGCTGGGTCCGAGCCCGCCAGGGGTATCTGGGGATCTATCGCTCTGGTTATCTCTGGTTTCCCAGCAATGGGTAAGGCCTCGATCGGGTAGTGGTGTAAATGGGAGGTTGGGGTTCCCCCCGTCAGCGTGCTGACGGTCCCCTTCCTCCTGGCTATTGATGGCGGGTTCTGCCTGTCAGGGATTAGATAGGTCCCGAGTGTTGCTTGCACTAAATGCGTCGGGGCGCTCCACCATGGACCTCTAGGTCCCGACCTAGTGGAACCCAGGTGGAGTGACGCTTAAACAAGCAGCCGGAATCCCTGGTTAGGATCGAGGGGCAACCCTCCTTCCGAAGGGTCTGCTTCGGCAGCCGGCGAGCCTGATGACCTTAAGTCATCCGCCCATGATGTGCTAAAGGTTGATGCTTAAGCTTCGGCCTACATCATGGGGCCCGGGTATGTCCTAAAGGATAGGTACCGGGTATGCAGTCAGGGGGCTTCGGCTCTCATGACAAATAAATAAATAAATAAATAATAAATAAATAAATACTAATGTACACCGTGTCCCAAAAAAAACTGAACAATTTTATTTACTTATAAAAAGTTTATCAACAATCACTCGATAAACTAATTACATTTTAACTGACACAAATATTCCTAAGTTTTGTTTGATATCATGTGTTAATGATTTTCAACATGGTTTCCATTGTTGACAAAAAGATAGTCAATACGGCTGTCCAATTCAGCCCACACTCTATGGCGCATTTCGTCAGTAATGTTAGTAAAGGCTGCATTTATTCATTGCCTCAATTCTCGGACATCGGAAACTACTATCTTATAAACTTATAATTTTGACAAATTTAACTCACATGCCGCACAGCGAACAGACTTTCGATGGTCGTGAAGAAATAATTGTTGCACGTTTTCAATCAATTCATTTTGGAATTCGGCCTACCTTTACCTTTTGTCATACCAGGCTCGAATGCTGTTCCGTGATGGAGGACGTCGACCATAGCGTCTTCTAAATGTTCTTTGCACTGCAATATCTGACTTACTTTGAATGTACCACTCAACGCTTTGCGCTTTCTCTCGTGCGTCCATGGTGCTTAATGACAGGGCAATGTTTTTAAATTTCAAGTTTCAAGCGACAACAATGAATCAGCTGATAGTTACAATTGATATTGAACAAAACTTCATGAGCTCAGTTATCATATGATCACCTTCAAAGTAGACTAGGTATGCCTGGACGTATTATATAACAATTTAAAATTGTTCAGTTTTTTTTGGGACACGGTGTATATTTGTTTTCAACAATTTTATTATGTGCCATTGCAAATTGTTGCTATTCACTTATAGGATGCAAGCCCTGCTAAGAAGGCCAAGAGTGAAGCAGCAGCCCCAGCAAAGAGAGGAAGGGGACGACCAAAGGGTTCTGGGAAGAAAGCTGCGGCCAAACCCAAGGTAAACATTATTTCATCATGGTATTAGAGCCTCCTGAATACCGATAAATACAGTGTCCGGAATACCACACACCCTGACAGACTACCCCCCTCCAAATAGGTCATAGTGATGTCAAAAGTCGTGAGTAGGGGTAGTAATTTTCCACTGTCTGGTCAAATTGTTGTATGGAAGAGTCGTTTGGGGAGTTATTCACTCAAGTAAATTGGAATGGGTTATCCAAGTGAATGAGTGTTGTGGATCACATCGACCATAGAAGTCACTCAGTTTGCACTTTAACAGTTTGCCATTTCGTTCAGTTTAGCTTTTGGAAGTTGGATGATTTTTGCTAGCTCTATAGTTAGCACAATATATTTATCTGATACATATTTCCAAAAACTGTTCCTATTTAAATAGTCGTTTAATTAATCCAGCTGATCAGTTGATTCTTTGTTGTTTTTATTTATGTTTATATGCAGTGAGGCTAAATAAAAATAATGTAATAAAAATTATACTACCCAGTGAACATTATTGATGGTGCACTATTTAATCGAATATTACATTAGTTTAAGGACATAATCTTGGCGACGAGTAAAAAAAATTACTAAAGAACAGAATTTACAGAAATTAATAAAAGACAAGTACTGTATGTTAAATGGCTATGTATAAACATTTACAGTTTAAATTCCCACTTTGATTGTCTTAAACTAAAACAAAATACTAAATAACCAGATAGTATGTTTTGAAATGTTTGTATTGCAAGCGGTTTTGAATGGTGAAATAAATCATTTACCGAAATTTCTTTGCTCATTTGATTTTTTTTTCTTCACAGGCAAAATCTCCTGCCGGAAAAAGCAAAAGAGGACGGCCAAAGAAGGTAGAGAAGAAAGCTGATTCGGCTGAAGAAGAGGAAGAGGAAGATGAAGAAAACTAATCTTGGATTCCGCAAAAAACATGTGTTCTGACTTTAAAGTGCTTTAGGTGTAAGTTTTAGTCTCTATGTGTGGTTCCACTGCCAAGTATAAAAGCTTTACATCGAGTAACAATGTAAAACAGGATTCACAGTCTTACTTTATGTCTTTTATAGCCAGGGTGTACGTTCTTGGTATAATATACAGTACGTGAAAAATTGGTGAAAAATTTATAGCTGGTTTAGTTTCATGCTTTATTCTCCATGAAATTGTGTATAGTTGGTAAAACAAACATCACATTGATTCAGACATTTTAGCATCAAAATTTCAATATTACATTCGTAGATAATACGTTTATGCATTTGAACGGATTAAAAATTGATAATTTTTATTACCTATACTGCTAGTGTAAGATACTTTTTATAACATACTTAATCTATTTTAAGTATATTAAATATACATTTTATACATAATTGTTGGTGTTTTGCTACCTCAAATCTAATAATTTTGACTCCTCCTCACTTGGTATAAAAGAAAATATCACATTTTCTAACCTAGACTTTCAAATGCTTTAAATTGGACATTTTGTTGAGTAAACACAGACAGATCTGGTATATATTTTTTGTGAAAATGAATGTAATGTAGAATGTAGTGTAATTAGGAAATTATGTACTTTGTATAGTTAATTCACCGACAGTTAAAAGATCTATATAATTAATACGCTACATGAAACTTTGTCGGTTGAACTCCTCCGCCATTTCTTAACCGATTTTATCCATTGATGTCTCATTTGAAAGAGCGTGTCGCGTATATTTGCAAACTGGTCTTACATTTTTGAAAAAGTCCCTTGGGCTCTGCCCCAGTGGCTTTGAAAGTTCCCATGTTATCCTTATGAAGAACATAATTGTTTATATTTTGATCAGCTGTATAATTTAATTGCTGTTATTTATTTATTTACTATTTGAGTTTGTGTAAACATAACCCCCAAGATGGATCGTGTTACTATGGTTGTATCTTAAATTTGTGTATTTATCGTTGTTTTGTGTCGCTATGACGGATCGTGTTAGCACGATTGTAACTTAAATTTGTGCATGTATCGTTGTTTTGTGTTAACAGCTTTGTTGTTTTTCTTTTAAATGCCTTCGACGCGACGACAACGAAACATGAGGCGATTACAAACGATTACATGAGGCGTAATCGTGATAACGAGAACAGTGGTGCGTAATAGGCTTAAATTATCAGTGTCAGCACTGACCCTTGACAATCCCAACTATTAGGTTACAAATGCTCCCTAACACTTTCCCAAAACAACTTTTCGTTCTCAATTGGCCCTCTATCAATGACCTGTGTTGCCTGTACAGCAAGACATTTTGAGAAGGAGAAAACCGGCCGGAATGCTTTAGGTTTATCAATAACGAAGATAAACATGGTCTGAGTTACACACCGGTAATCTTTGAGTTGACTCTTTTAAACTCACTGTAAATATAACTGTTATTCGTTTTGAAATAACTCCTGTAATACATTTTAACTGTTCGAATTTGAGCAACATGTACACTAGTAGTTATTATATTTAAACTCTGCTCAATCAACCTTGATGATTTTACATTAACTCCTTATTTGATTTGAAAAGAAGTGGAAAATACCCCTGCTGCAGACTAAACAAATTTTCAATTTTTCTGTTTGGAATCATACTAAAATATTTCCATAGGGTAAATAAGACATGTTTATTCTGTGTTTGGATAAAATTGGTTTAAAGAGTACATAAGATTGCTGTTACGGATAAGGAAAAAAATGTCCTATTCCTTTAACTCCGCGAATTTCTCTTTCTTCTTTTGAATCTAAAATGTATAATTGGTTCATTGCAAATCCATTTTATACCATTAAAGAATTCATGGACCGCAAAAAAATGGATTAAACTACTAGTTCAAGTTAATTGGTTCATATTGTAGATTTAGAATACTTGACTGTTAAACTGGATATCCACGAAGTAACCCAAATACCGTCTGGGTGTGGCGCGATAAGTAGTGGGGGTTACGCCACCATTCTCACATCAGCGTGGGCAGCCCAGTAAGCTTCTAGCTTTGCTAGAGAGAGCATCGAACGGTCGCGCGTTCTGTTATTATAACCAAAAAACATGAGCGCCGCCACAGAAAATTCCCAGATTTCTTTAGTCGAAGAATCACACAGCAGCTGAAATTCATTGAGAATTGTGTGTGGTGTATGGCCCAAACATTATGAGTGATGGTTTGGATTTAAAAAATGGGATAATTTCCACCCTCCGGTAAGGATTTTCATTTTTATAAGGGGTTAGATCTAGTCGGCATCTCTCAACCTTGTTTTTTATTTTGCTTGTATGCCTCTTGTCAAAAGCAAATGATATAGCTTGCTGATCCGTGTATAATCTGGGACCTCATGGTCAGTCGTCCACCCGCTACCGAACCGTCAGTACGCTTGCTGTTTGGAGACAATCCAACAGTCTATAACCTCCTAAATTCTGGTCAATTAAAGATTTCCCCCGTTCCTGGTAGAATCCTAAGGCATCAGGTTAGTGTGCTACCGATTTTATTTTCGTTTAATCTCATTTTAGAGAAGTTTTATTATTTTTATTTTACTGTGCCGCAGTCGCGCGCACCCCGCACGCCTTTTCACGTACGAGCACACTACCTTTTGTCTTAAACCAGCTTCGGAAATCAGTTAAGTTGCCGGAACGGTTTACGTACGACTTACCCCGTTACCCCGGACCGTCCTACGTAAATTTGGTTTAAAAACCCTGTATCGACTCTGGTGATCGACCGAGTCTAATTTTCCCGACAAGTTTACTTTGGTGATTACCAAGTATAACGACCGAATCACGTTTTAGTTCGGTTTCTAATTCATAAGCTTATTCACATTTCGATAGGTTATTCAAAATTCTAAATTTAACTTTACATATTTTTCGAGTGGCTATGATGAGCACTTGTTGAAGGTAAGCTTAACATTGTAAGCATTATTGTTGTAATTAATATTCTGAGCCAATAAACTCGAAACGATAATTAATTAACAAACACGTTAGAGCCCTGGACTATCTCATTGTAAGCTATCTGGACAAATTTAAGGTGTGACAGAATTTCAGGTGAGACGACAATCACGTACTATAAAATCTCAATTTTGTCTCTCAACCCGAAATTTCGTCATAAGCTGAATACAAAGTCTGCGAGAAAAAAGCAATTGACCGATTTTCTTGACTTAAATTCTGCCACAGCTATGTCAGATGCGTCGGTCTCCACTACAAGTGGCTCTTGCCCAATCCTAGGAGATACTGAATTTGCAATGTCAAGTTTGAGTGGTTCAAAATCCGCAACCGTTTCCTGTGACAAAGGAAAAGCATTAACTTGTGTCAGGTTTCTTATTTTATCTGAAAAAATCAATGCATCTTTTTTAATATTGGGCGAAAAATCCTAGGATTCGCTTTAGTAAAACTCGGTCTCTTACCTTTTTTACCTTACCTTCCGTCGACTAGAAAAAAAAACTGGATTGTTCATGTCAATAAAATTTTAACAATGCTTCATATATAAAATTGAATATGAAACATTTAAGTTAACATTAATATTCACACAGCACAAATGGTGAGCAGGGAGGTGAGTGAGTCGGCAACAAACTCATCAATTGAGTAGAAAGCCATATCCTTTAGCCATCGCACTAAAACACGTTCAAAAGCGGTTCTTCTCAAGCAGCATCAATTGGAAGCCTGTTGAACATCTTCAACGCCAAGTCCGGGGAGTGCTTTGAAGTCTTAACTAGCCTGCGCCTCAGGTAGGGATCCCAGACGTCCTCTTTTTCCCGGACACGTCCTCTTTTTGGGTACAAAAAAAACGTCCGGGGGGATTTTTGGCAATACTTTCAAATGTCCGGGATTTTGACTTTGTGAGAGAATCAAAAAATATTTCTGCAAGTATTAATATTAGCAATCAGCTTTTAACATTAAACCATATTAAACTAAGTTAAAATACTACACTTTAATAATATCTTACTAAACTATTATACCAGGGGAACTTTAATAGTTTTTATTGCAAATCGTTCTACCAAATTGAATTCATTGTAGTCTTTACACTTGTGGCGAACGAATGGACTAATTACAAACTCTAACCCAAACCATACCCAAACCTCGGGATCGTTCGAGTCTGACTATTTTTTGTACGTTATGAAACGTAGGGAAGATCGGCAGACGACGGACACTTTCAGCAACATACGGCAACGGCAGTGTCCGATGCTGGCGTTCGACGTTCGGCCGCATTCTTCTTATTTAATTTTTCGGCATTTAATGTTACCATTAATTTTAACCTAGATGGTTGAAAACTTGAATTGGGTATTGGATAAAGAAAAGAAGTTGTATCAAAGTCCAAGCTTGAAGGGTAGCTGAATATTAATTTATCTGAGTTCAGCGAAAATAGCTTAAAAAGTACTAATTTTAGTACGTTATTTCCAAAATTTTCACGGGGGAGAACCCCCAGGCCCCCCGGTGACCCCCCCCCCAAAATATATATCTAGGACCACCCTTGGTGAGTAACTTTGTCCTCTTTTTTGATGGAGGGTCCCTGGGAGCCCTAGCCTCAGGATGTCCAGATTAGATCTGCTTCTTAAGTAGTGGTCATGAATTTTGCTTTTGGTGGTGAAGGAGGCCTCATGTCGCTTAACATATACCAGTGAAACCAAGATGTAGTTTGATGGTACGGTGAGTAACCCCAAACTCTGAAACAGGGGCAGGCAGTGATCTAGGTACCTAATCACTTGAGGTGATAATCCTCACCCCTGCTTGTGGCACTCCGAATGTTGCTCTTTGGGCTTAGAAAGTGAAGTGACAGTAGATTTTAGGTGATCTGGATCAGGGTGAATAGTGTTATGAGAAACTTAATGTCCCAACAAAGTTATTGAAGTGTGATTGAACTTGCTCTTTTCATTGTTGATTACAAGGTCCTTACTTGGTTACAGCATGTTAGCATCTAAGAATTTTCTTAGATACTTTAATACTTTCCCCATACACAGGGGCGTCATTTGGGGGGGGGGGCGTTCGCCTCCCCCTGGATCCTGGGCTAGAGAAAAAAAAAATGCTGAACTAGCCGATATACAAATGAGAAAATATAATATTTTCTCCTGTCAAATCCTAAAAAGCACAGCAGACATAAATCTGTATATTCTTGTACAGTAATTACAAAAAATTATTATTGTTTTATTGTCTTAGATAGCACATTTTGAGTTTACATAAATTATAGTAGTTTTGTTATTCATTCACTTTTTCTGTTTGGTGCTGTACGATAAACCACTTACTTCTAGATTATATATACATAAAAATTCAGATTTTTTAGAAGCATTGCTTTGTCATTTACTTTTATGAATTATTCAAGCATTAAAATTATACATGTGTATAAA